AAATGACATAGCACTTAGAAGACGAAGAAGAAGACGCCATCTATGAAATGAACAAAAGTTCATCACACATATTCTTCAACATATTTCTCTCATTTGGTTTCTCTCTCGTGTGTGTGTGTGTGTATGTGTGTTTTCAATTTAACCTTGTCTTCTATTTGCATATTTTTGATAGCAGGCTTCCCTAGTTGACCTGTTACACAGTCTCAATGCTCGACCTGACCCAGGCTAACAATGAAGAAACACATCCGGGCAGACATTGTTTCAAACAAAGAATACATTTGGTCCAGAAACTGAATTAATATCCAGCTGAAATCTTTTACATTCTTGCAATTTAAAACAATTAAAATAATGATCTGAGAAAAAAGCCGCAAAGAAACCCAATGGTTACTACTGTGCCAATATCGATGAAGATCAGCCAACATATGTTTTAATATTCAATCGTGTGTTTTCCTAAATATGTCAGCCATGCCGGCTGACATATTTAGGAAGACACACACACACACACACACACACACACACATATATATATATATATATATATATATATATATATATATATATATATATATATATATTATTGGTAGTAATCTTATAAGTATAAGAAATTATACTCGTACGGAAAACCTTCGGTGTCTTCATTTGCGAATAATCAAACCAATACCAAACGAAAAATCGAAAAAGAAAGTACCAAGAACATGTACGTCCGCCGAAAATAATCGTCTAGCATGCAAGTCCAAAGAAAAAAAACCCGATACGAGTTCGCAAAATAAATAAAGTGCTCAAATACGGTAAGTAGAGCCGACCTAGTTAAACCTAAAGAGCCAGACAAACCTGCCAATGTTTCATCTAAGCGGATCGTCAGGGAAACCAGCCTTCCCTGACGATCCGCTTTGGTTAAACCTTGTTAGGTTTGTCTGGCTCTATAGGTCTAACTATATATATATATATATATATATATATATATATATATATATAGCGATTAACCCAAGCACGACGGGAGTGCTACTAGTCCGCAAGTGGCTCCAGATCGTGTAAGAGAAAAGACTGGGTATCGGGGTGGGGGTTGAAAAAAAATGAGAAAAAGAACAACGGGGATCAAGACAACAGAAGATGTCGATTGACATTACATTTGAACATTTGAAGATTATAGTTATCCGGGAAGCAAGGAAAGGAGTTCCACTCTCGGGAAGTGCGAGAGAAGAAGCTGTTGGAGTAGAAGAGGCTGTTACGTTTAATAGTTTCGACAGCAAAAAGGTGGGACCGAGATGCCAACCTAGTAGCACGCTTAAATTCATGCAATCAGCGAAACAGTAAAAGTCTCTCGTCAGAGTAGATGCCATGAATTTATTAAATAGAAAAGACAAAGGGAGGCCATAGTACGTCGGTGAGAAAATGACTAGAGTCAAGACACCAAGTTACCTTGCATATACGTCTTTGGATTTTATCGAGAACCTTGAGATGAACAGCGAGAGTACCATAATATATATGGCAAAAATATTCCATGCATCGGCGAATGGTAGATTTGTATATTTGAAGGATGGACTCAAACGAGAAAAACCTTCTAGCGATATATATATATATACAAATGTTAGCGACTTACGACAGTTTTTTTATATATATACAAAACCCTTTCAGAAAAATAAGAAATAAAATAAAAAAATAAATAAATCTCCATAGACACTTAAGCAGACTAGAAGATGTCATCTTCCGCTTTAAATTTAGACACCACAAACTTACCCTGACTTGACGTCTGTGAATGTAACTGAAATATTGATACAACTTAATATATTAAGTTAAGATATTAACCCTTACGCCCCTTTTCTTTAAACAATTGCTCTAGCCGTTACCATAGTAATCTTAATTTCAATAATGAATATGATTGTAAAACGCGTAAATTTCAGGAATAAGTTATTCAAGTAAACATTTCGCTTGAAATGGAACAGAGCTTAGTACTTTAATTCAATTTAATTCAAATAATTATATTGAAGTTTTCGGCTCTTGTTTTGAAACATGAGGACCCTTATGTAGTGTGTTGGAATCATATTTTTTAAATAAATAATTATATTTATGCTCTACTTTTGTATCGAGCACTATTTTTTTAAAAATAATAACAAAAATACTAAAGAACTTTGGATTATTTACCTAACGAGTTCTTTTCCTATTTTCTATATATTTTACACACACACACACACACACACACACACACACACACACACATATATATATATATATATATATATATATATATATATATATATATATATATATATATAAAATAAAACCAGACACCTCTTTCAAAGAAATTTTGCGAATTGAAGGAGAATAACCCACAGTTAGTTTGGAAGATTATGTGTTCGCACATTCTCCTAAGAGTCTTACAGATGGATGCAAATTATGTTTAGAAGAAAAAATTAGAATAATAAAATACATTAATCAATGACTACTATTGAATCCGAGGTATGAATTAGTAATAAAATATCAACATAAAAACAAATTTTCCATAATATAGGTCTTCTTTATTAACTATTATATTTCTCTAACTCTTCAAATGTCGATTGTATAACTAAATCTAATTTCTATATTTCCATTTTTACATCTTATTAGATCTTATAATTTTCACCTCTTCTAAGAATTGTCTTTCTTTTTATGACTTACAACTATTTATCAGTATATTTTAGGATAGTTTTTGAATATAACTTCGTTTTAAAATACAACTATATTTTAAGTATAACCTTATATTTTTAAGTTAACTTGTTTTTACATTTAAATTGCCTTTAAAGTTAATTTTCAGTTTTATTTTATTTATTTAATTCATTATATTTTATTTTCAAATGTATAATATATTTTATCTTATATTTTTATTTCTAAATATTTTTTTATTCTTTAATATAAATATAACCTATAGATTTTATATTAACTTATCTTTAAATATAGATTTCCTTAATTTTAATACAGATTATAAATATAATTTATTTTTAATTATAATTTATTGAAATAAATCTTAATTTTAAATATAATATATATATATATATATATATATATATATATATATATATATGTATGTGTGTGTGTGTGTGTGTGTGTGTGTGTGTAGCTGGCCACTTGGCTACTAGGGCGCTTAGCCAATCCCTTTATGCAGACACATTCTCAGGTGCATTTGTGTTTGTTCAACACCCACAGAGCTCACCATAGGGTGTGATGGATAAATTGACGTCCTAATTACGAAAAAAAAAATAACATTGACATCTCATTTTAACAAATATATTTACCAAAATTACACAAAAATATCTTGAAATACTAAAGAGTAAGCTTATTCAGTCAAATCGCTACTGGCTTCAACCACGGCGTCCCGACGACTTAGGAATCTCCTGCACTTTTTCTGGACGGTCTCCTTGTTTAAGTTGGTGAATGCAACAATAATTCTTGCTTTCAGTTCATCTTGGCTATTACCCACATATATTAAGAGTGTTGCAATCTAAGGAGTTAAGTGTTCAAAGGTAAGTCGTGATGTAGTCGCAGAAATTGTCTGACAGCCAGACTGGGTTTTCCTGCTTGTGTGGCATGCTTTAGAGTCCAGATGCCACACAGATGGTCTTCCAACAGTCGTTCTTTTGATCCAGGACAGCACTACCTTGTCAAGGCACTTGATGTAGTCTTCGTGTTGTGTCTGAGGCCCTGTGGGGAAGATGAGTAGAGGCATAACAAGTGATCGCTCCAAGCACCATCATATTGATTGGATATATCACCCAACTCTTTCTGAATCTCCTGCAGTTTCCACAGATTGACACCTAAACACTCTGAAAGGTTTGTATTGAAAATTCCGGCGCGAATGCCAAGCAGTACAGCATGCAGATGAATTGTCTCATGGTGCACTTTTTCTCACAGACGATGCCCAACTGAATATACTATTCTTTTCAGTCGACAAAATCAAATCAAACAACACGCATGCGCAAAATTAATAATATGAAAATGACGACAATTTATCGATCGCACATTCAATTTGTGGGGGCCTGTGTTTGTGCGTGTGTGTATGCGTGTATGTATGTGTGTGTGTGTGTGTACCACTATAAATGATGAGAAGTCCAACACAGAATTTATTTGAATAAAGTGGCAAAGAAAATTCAGCTAATAATATAATTGAGGTATTTCTTATACTGTAAAACATATATCGATAGCCTGCCAAAATAAATACATGTCTAGCCAAAATAGATCAATAGTATGAAAAGAAAATAAGAAATTATCGAAGTAAGAATTCATTTGTAAATTTTATCGAATTTTAGACGAAAAAAAAACACACGCACATATATATATGTATGCAAATATATATATATATATATATATATATATATATATAGATAGATAGATATAGATATAGATAGATAGATATATATATATATAGAGAGAAAAAGAGAGAGAGAGAATTAATAAATATATTTTTCCTCACCAGAAGCGCGGTATTATATATATATATATATATATATGTTTTAATCATTTATTATTTTTATTATTAACATTTACCGGCCTGAATGTCCGAGAAAATTTCACATTGTGGCTGGTAAATGTTATTAATACTGTTTATTATAAACAGACCATTTACTTAAATATTTGTATCTATAAAAAGAATATATAAACATAAAAATGTCTTAAAAAAATTGTCGGACTTTTGTCCATTTCATAATATATATATATATATATATATATATATATATATATATATATATATATATAGATAGATAGATAGATAGATAGATAGATAGATAGATCAATATACGATTGAATATTAAAACATAAGTTGGTTGATCTTCATCGATATTGGTACAGTTGTAACCATTGGGTTCCTTTTCAGCGTTTTTCTCAGATCAGTATATTAATTGTTTATTGCTTTTTTTGCTTGCACATTAAAACATTTATATCTTTAATGAAAATAGGTTTTGTTTAAAAATGTATTTCATTTCCAAAATTCATTTAATCAATATCGGAATCATGACATAATAAACATAATGGTTTTTAAAATAGTCTTTCTTTGTGATTTGTACAGAAATTTTAACTTAATCCTTGTTCTCCTTCTCTTCTCCTCTGTCTTCTTCTTGGTCTCCTTCTTCTTCTTCTTCTTCTTCTTCGCCTCCTCGAATCCTTTCATTCTCCTTCTCCTTCTGCTCCTCCCTTTTCTTCTTCTTCCTTTTCTTCTTCTTCTTCTTTATACATTTTTCTTCCTCCTTTTCTTCTTCTTCTTCCTCCTCCCTTTCTTCTTCTTCTCGCCTCCTCCTTCCTCCTCCTTCTTCCTCCTTTTCTTCTTTCTTCCTCCTTCCTCCTTTCTTCTTCTTCTTCTTCCCTCTCCCTTCATTCTCATCTTTTCTTCTCCTTTTTCCTCCTTCCTCCTTATCTCCTCATTCTTCTTCTTCTCCCTTCTCCTTTCATTCGCCTTATACATCTTTTCCTCCTCCTTTTTTATTCTCTTCCTCCTTTCCTCATTCTTCTTCTCTTCCTCCTCCTCCTTCCCTCCTTCTTCCTCATCCTCCTCCTCTTCTTCTTCTCGACCTTTTTCCTCCTTCTTCTTCCTTCTCCTTTCATTCCTTCTGTATTATTCTTATACATTTCTTTTCCTTCTTCCTTTTCTTCTTCTTCTTCTTCCTTCCTCCTCCTCCTTTTTTATTATTCTCCCCTCTTCCTTCTCATTCTTCTTCTTCTCGACCTCCTCCTTCTTCTTCCTTCTCCCCTTCATTCGCCTTATACATCTTTTTCTTCTCCTCTTCTCCTCCTTTCTTCTTCCCCCTCCTTCTTCTGTTTTCCATCCTTTTTTTATTCACCTCAAATTTTTAGGCTGGTTTCCTCCTCATGTTTCCTTCTCCCCTTCATTTGCCTTCTACATCTTTTCCTCCTCCTTTTTCCCCCTCCTTCTTCTGCTTTCTATCTACACAAAATTTTTAGGCTGTTTTCCTTCATGTTTCACTCTTGCCTCCAACATATCTTTTGAGTTTATTACTCAGACTTTTCCATTCATGATATAAATACTGGTACGGTCATCGAAGTTAAGCAATGCCGAGCCTGGTCAGTAACTAGACGGATGACCACGTGCGAATACACAGTGATGTAAGCTAGGATGTGCGGGTAGTCTAATAGATAACGGCACTGGATTAAAACTCGGGGAGCTGAGTTCTAATTCCTGTAAGGTTCGTTATATTCTCTTACGCGCAAATACTTTTGGAAAAGGCATGAATCTACTTTTAAATCACCCAGCTCTGGGTTAGTCGGACATGTATCAGCAAAAATAATTATTATCTCCAACAATATAAAAAGCCGTCCTGACATTAATTAACCTGCAAATGCTTGATAAACAGTAAAAAAAAGGTAATCAATTAGGGACTCGGGTTATTACGTCTCTCCACAACTTCGTATCTGTACAGCTCTTGTCATTTTACTATCCTCCCCTGATTATTTTTTTAAATGCATTTACACAAGCCCGTTATGTAGGTTATTTGCTGTCTTTTATATCTCCCTTTGGTTTAATATGTCCTTTTGGTGTGAAATATCCTTCAGGAGATTACATGGGTCACGACATAGCCACATTTTCACTCAGGTTGACGTGTCGATAATTAGTTTAATTCGTTCACATGTCGATCATCGTTTCACAAACAATAAAAAATTAAAATAAAATGAAACTAAAACAAATATAAAACAAATATATATATATATATATATATATATATATATATATATATATATATATATATATATATATATATATATATATATATATATATATATATATATATATATATATAAAATATATATATATATATAAATATATATATATATTAGATATATATATTTTAAAAATATATATGTTTATCATTTTTAAAATATATATATATATTATGTGTGTGTGTGTGTGTGTGTGTGTGTGTGTGTGTGTGTGTGTGTGTGTGTGTGTGTGTGTGTGTGTGTGATTTTTTAAGAAATTTCCGCTATATAATTGGTTCGATTCTCATTGGTCAGTCTGTATTACGTGCAATATCCACACCCTCTAGCAGGTTGACGTATCGATAATTCGTGTAATTAGTTCACATATCGATCAAATTTACACAATCAAAATAAAATCAAAATACAACAATTAAAACGAAACAAATATTAGTAGAAAATACCAATAGATTATGCAACACTTACTGAAAGGAAAGATATAAAATTATTAAAGCTATTGTCATACAAATAATCATATTAAATAACATATATTAAACAACAATAGATGGTATCTTAAAATGTGCATGAGATATTTAAAACGCTTAAAATATAGGAAATGTACAAATATATGTTAACATTCTTCACTGGTGGGGTTTATCTCCCTTTGTGTGTAGAATTGCATTGAAACATTGCGTATTACAGCTAGGCAAAAAATGCCAGGTTGTAACCAACAAAATCTTACGTCTTACACAAAAGTGAAGACATTAGAACTCCTCCAGTTAGACAGAGACACATACAAATTACGAATACATATAACCATCTGATGAACTCTTAGACATATTATAATATTCACACACTTATATATATATAGAGAGAAGTGGATACGGTTTTCATATACGTCTTACAAGGACCAAGGAAAACAGAAAAAAAAATTGAAAATACTAGCGTTCTATATTTTTGTCTGTTTTCTCTCAATCGCTGACGAAGTTTTAATAAAAGAGACGAGACATTTTAGATTGATAAACGTTTCGAATTTGCTTTTTATCTCATTTCTCTGTAAGAATATATTTGATCCATATTTGATCATTATCACACACACACACATATATATAAATATATATATATATATATATATATACACATGCAGATAGATAGTAAATGTAATAAATTCGTTGGTATATGATCCAAGTGGATCCTAGTAATATAAAATATTAAAACAAAGTTCAATGTATTTATTATCACGGAGCAAATAATTAATAAACAATAAAATACAAAATCATGTCATATTAGGAATAAGCTTATTTTGACAGACGAAAATATAATTCGTCAGCCTTATTCAACCCCGGTATAGGCTGGGTCGTGTCTGAAATAGAAATTTAACACTGAAAGCTACAAAAAAAATGTCGAAATACTAATACAGAATTTATCTATTTCAAAGTTTCAGTCAGGCGAAAGACACTAGATAGTGGTCATACATGTGTGTTTATGTGTGTCAGTGTGCGTGAAAAAACATATATATATATATATATATATATAGAGAGAGAGAGAGAGAGAGAATAATTTAGACAAGATTTGTCTTCTTATTTTCAATTGGATCCTTTAATAATCATGGACAAGGTTTTCGTGTCGGAAAATGGGAAAATTATTCCTAGTACTTTTGTCAGATGACAATGTCATCATCAGGGTGTTGTTTACTTCAAGACAAATATTGTAGTGTTCATCATTTTCAAAGGCAAATTTGTTGTGCCACATGAGATTTATATTTATTACTTGTGAAGAACGGTGAGTGAGTGCGTGATTTCTTCACTACCGCTTCAGGGGAGCTAACTAAGTATGGTGTGTCAAGAGCATTTAATAAATAAGTATTATAACTATTAATTCAAACTTTGATATATTAAACTATCCATTGTATACAGTTTAAAACATTTGTTTAGAATTCAAAATTAATTTAATCAACGTTTGGTTTTCATTTCATGTCTCAATGATAATATCCTACCAAAATATACGCTATATATATATATATATATATATATATATATATATATATATATATATATATATATATATATATATAGAAAAATAAAATAAAATAAATAGACAACACTTGTCTGTATTATTTAATGAAACGTGTATAAATATATATATATATATATATATATATATATATATATATATATATATATATATATATATAAACCGTTAAATGTGTCAATCTCAATATCTGCTAACTCACTCATTCTCTCTCTTCTCTCTCCCCTCACTTCCTCACTTCGTTAATTTACATATGTTTAATACGGCCCGTCAAAAATGTGTAAAGTTTCTTTTCATTTTTTGTTTGGAAGTAAAGTCTGATGATCCGCAGTCCTTTAAAAGGGCTGTGGTGAAATAATTTATTACATGGAACCTTAAAGTGGTCAGTTTTTATTTATTTATTTATATATATATATATTATATATATATATATATATATATATATATATATATATATAAATAAATATATATATATATATATATATATATAGTACGAACGAAATAGCAAGAATTTGGAACAGAAACTTTAATAATGAGCAGGAAGAGAAAATATTAATCAGGAGAACAGTAGATAGCGATTGACATTGCATTTAAATTATTGCAGATTAAAGTTGGCTGGAATTCATGGATCCCGAAGTGAGTTCCACAATCAAGAAATGCAAGAAATGAAACATAGAACTTACGGTTACCATTTTGGAATCAGGCCGACTCCCTGAGCAATTTTTTTCATTCCCAAGTTTTCATTATTGCGATTGTTTTCTGATTCCGCCGTCTTGGTTTCTACTGATAAAAAACAATTAAAGGGACACAACTCTCTAACATTCAATAGCTCATGTTCAAATGAAAAAGAAAATTAAAATGTTTCGAAATTAAAGTGTCCGTGTTTTCAACTTTACTCCTAAAGGTCGTGGTCCAATTCTCATACCGTTTTTGAAGCAGGCCGATTCGGTGAAGAAGGCCGATTCGGTGAAGAAGTCCGATTCAGTGAAGAAATTTCAAATATTCCGGGTCAAGTCCGGAAACGTAATCCTGAAATTTTGGATTCCATTACTGCAATTATTTTCAGCAATTACTTTTACGTGATTTTTTGCGTTCCGTGAAAAAAATAATGGTTTGTACAGAAAGTAAGGACCTACGTACATCTAATGGTCTTTAATTTAAGTGGCGTCAGAAGAAATATCATTGAACTTTTAAAAGGTAAACTTAAATATTAAAGCAATATTTCAATACAGCAATCTAAGATTGAGATCTCCTAAGTATATTGTTCAGTATCGAATCTACTTCTCCCTACCTATTGTGATGTAGGCCCAATCAAGAGCACTCCTTATCGGGCGGCATTTAAGATATCTGGGGAAGAAGTGTGAGTTTGTAGTAAGTAACTATGGGTGCAAATAATGCAATACTCTTCGATAAAACTAATCAATTTCTCTCAGTCACTGGGGTGTTTATTTAAAAATAGACATGCTTAAATTCCAGCCGTACGCCAACGGCTTAGGGGTAGATTCTCAGACTAACGCCAATTCAGCCGGTTTTTGATCATAGCTAGACGTCTAGCCACACTGATGAGTTGTGATATAGAGAAAGATTCTGTCTTTGGATGAAAATATATACATATTTTTATACTTGGGAGTGAGGTCTTATGATCCAGGGAATAAAAAGCACTCTGGTGAAATAAATTATAACAATGGTACCTTCATGTGGTCTGTTTTTCTTTTAAATTATATATATATATATATATATATATATATATATATATATATATATATATATATATATATATATATATATATATATATATATATATATATATAATAGCTCTCTCTCTCTCTCTATATATATATATATATATATATATATATATATAAAGCTATATATATATATATGTATATATAGCTCTCTCTCTCTCTCTCTCTATATATATATATATATATATATATATATATATATACATATGCATATTTATCGTATAGTAATAGTTAAAATATAATAAACTATATACATGCATTTATGAAAAAAATATTTTCACTGTGATCCACATACATTTGGATACATTAAATGTCTGTAATCTCACAAGTCATAACTGTGACGAATTCACACGTACAGGCTGCAATAATACCTTTATGAGTGCATATATAAATGCTTAATACACACACACACGCACGCTTATATATATATATATATATATATATATATAATTTCCCTATCATAAATGGTTTTTTCAATTGCTTTTTGAATCCCCACCGGTGCTAATGATAAAAGACAGTCAACTAGACTTGTTGTTCGGAGTCGTGACGGTAAA